CCCCCCCCCACATCGAGGCGGCCACCGCGCATGTGTTCCTTTCTTCTGGTGATGGCCGCTGGTCTTTCCCCTTTCCCTCCCCCCTTCTCTCCTCCCCCTGGCACCTAAACCCCTGCCTTTCATATAGACAACCACAAACCCCCTCTTCTGCTTGAGATGTGCGAGGCGCCCCCCGCGGATATCATCTAAGGGAGATATTTTTATCGCTACAACTCGCGTGAGCAAAGGCCGTGTGTGTGTGTGTGTGCGTGTGTGCGTGTGTGGCAGATCAAGAAGCCGGGGACTGTTGCTTCTGCGCGAGGATCCGGTCGCCTATGTGCAAGCAGCATGCCCAAGAAACCAAGGCCACCGGGGGGCAGGGGGCAGCGAGGTGGTTAGGAGGGTGTGGCGGAAAAGAACGCCGAACAAAGGAGGGGAGAGAGAGAGAGAGAGAAAAAGAGCCCCCGGCGAAAGGCAAGTAGGCATGCAGGACATACGCAGAAGCGACTGAATGGCCGCCTGGGTCTCGGTCTCCAGCTTGTCCAGCTTGTCTTGGATGTCACGCTTCAGGTCCCAAGTGATCCTCCGCGGGGCGAGATCGGCGATTTCCTGAGTGCCGCGGCCAGGCACAACCGGTGTCACAGGCGGTCGACCTCGGCGAGTTAGTTGACAGGCGAGGGCATTTGCAAGGATGGAGGCGAAGGGGACAAGGGAAGAGGGGGTGGAAAGAAAAAAAAGAGAGGGAGCAGCAGGAAGAGGCACCCGGGGGCGGGGCGTTGCTCAAGATGATCGAGGCCGAGCGGGCGCACCAGGGTCGCCGGCTTGGCGGCCTCGTCCTTGGTCAGCGAGGCGATACGCTCAGCCGCGTCCTCCACCGTCTCGGTGGTCATTTCGTCGGCCTTGCGCTTGCGCGAGGCGCCGGCCCCCGGCAGACGGGGGATGACCTGCTCCCCGTCATCCTCGGCATCGGACATAGGGCTGTCCGTTCCGCCAGTGGTGGTCGGCCCCTCGCCGTCCTCTTCGTCGGACAGGGAAATGTGGTGAGCATCGTCTGTGGCCGCCGGGGAGGAGTCTGCCCCGCCGGCCTGATCCTCCTCCTCGTCGTCCAGGTCGTCGATGTCGATGGCATCCAGGTTATCGAGGGCCGCCGGGGGGCCAGACTCCGAAGCCTGGCGCTTGGACGGCGGCGTCGCGCCCGCCATCGCCAGCAGGGACTTGGGCTGCTCCAGGAGCGATGTCTGAGCGGGCTCGGTGCTCGAGGTGGAGGCGGCGGCAGCGGCGCGGAGGGCCGCCAGCCGGGCGCGGCGATCTTGCGCGGCAGACTCCATGGTAGGAAGGAGCGAGTGCCTGTGTGTATGTGCACGCGCGCGTGGGATTGGGAGAGAAAAAGAAGAGAGGCAGAGGCAGGAGGGCGAAGAGGCGCTGGAGGGGAGCTGCGAGGCAGGGGAGAGGAGGAGGAGACGGGGGAAGGAAGGATGGATGGATGGATGCTTGGAGGGCGGCCCCCGGAGCGCGGCCCGCCCCGCCGGCGGCCGTGCCCTTGAACGGGCAGTCCCATTCGGTGGGACTCCGCAGCTGCCGACGAAGCAGTATGGGATAATAGCATTCCTAACTGGAAGGTCGGCGACGGTCGGGCGGATTCCGGCTCGCGCGCCTTCTCGACCCCTCTTGTGCCCGCGCCGCTGGCAGCCCCCATGCCTTTTCGGTGGCCGGTCCTGGCCCCGGGGGTTCCGTTTTTTCCCACCCCCGGCAGGCTGACTTGGACGCATGCGCGCGCAACAGCCACCCAAGGCGGCTCTCCTATCCCAGCCCGCCGCCCCCCTTGCGGCCCCTCGGTGTTTCCCCCCCTCTTGTGGGCAGTGTGGCGACACTTGCGCGATCATTTTTCGGGGGCCCTCCGGCTGCTTGGCTGTCTGCAAGGCCCGGGCACTTGTCATCCTCCCCTTCCTCACCCTGTTGCTAGCCTCCCTCCGCCCCCCCTCCTCTCTGCATCGAACAGCCTTTCTTTCCTCTCCACTCTCCTCCCCTCCCCTTCCCCCTCCCCTTCCCCCCCCCCTTTCCCTTCCCCGCTCGACGCGCGCC